TAGTGGAGAAGCCTACATACTGCCTGATGATGGAGCAGAGAAATCAAGACACCAGGCCTGGAAACAGCATGCATGTGTGTTCCTAAGCCTAAAACAGTGCTTCTGCGGGTTTCATGTAAACACTGAAAGCCTTTTATGCGTTTTGGCAGGTCATTTACACACTGAAAATGCAAGCTTTAGAAAACGGGTATCAAAGCGCAAGTGTTTGAAAACGATTCCATTGTTGTCTTTACGTAAACTACGTGAAAACACATGCATGTGTGTTCAGCCTACAGGCGTTTCTTTAAAAAGTGACGTCGCCACCTACTGGCCTGGCGTGCACAATACTGCGTTTTCAGTCGTTTTGGTGAATCTGTGTGAACCGGGTTCGTTTTGCCAATGCTGTCGTCTGTACGTGAAACTTTTCAAAAATGCAAACGCATGTTTAGTACATCGCTGTTGCATTTATGACCAAGTAAAAAAAATGTATGGAATAAATTGAATACAACACGATACGTCAATATGATGTCTCTTTAAAGTTTGAAAACACAACGTAAAAGCAATCTCAATTACTTTTTAAGAAACTGTGATTTGACCTTCAGCCCGTTGGGCACCATTGAAGTCCATTACATGGAGAAAAATCCTTGAACGTTTTCCTCAAAAACCTTAATTTCTTTGCGACTGAAGACAGAAAGACATGAACATCTCGGATGACATTGAAGCGAGTAAATTACCAGATTTTTATTCTGGAAGTGAACTACTCCTTTAAAACTTGAATCTCTATTCCAAACACTATAATTAGAGATCGACCGATATATCGATTTACCGATATTTTTCCTGATATTTAAGCATTTTACAATAATCGGATATCGGTTTTGTAATATCGGATTCACCGATAAACGCCGCCATCTTGTGGATGTTTTGAGAATTGCGCGCAGGATCACCATCGCAGCACGTCTGAGGGGAACAAGACAACAACAACGGCGTGCACGGGTACTTCATTTACTGTAGTTAGTAAACTTTATTTAACATAACAGCCATCAATGCACAAATTAGATGCATTACATAAACGCCTGATATGCAGTTTATGCAGCTTGGCTCAAAGAAATAGAGACAAACTCACGTAAAATAATCCGTCAAGTCCTGTCCCAATAAAGACGTAACTTTGCGTGAATTAAATAATATGCAGCCATGAATGAGCGCATGTTGGAAATAAAAACGCTAAATTTACTTCTCTCTCTGTTGTATATCTGTTGTAGCAGGCTTTTCATAATCTAGAACGACAAAAACATTATTAGTAATTCTGATATAACATGCCAGTTGAGAAATGCAATAAAATACGATGTTTTGTTTGTTATATTTCAATATTCCAAAGAACATTATCCAGTGAATTATTCTTCACTCTTTAGCCTATTAAACAGCTTATAAACCTACTAAAACTGTAGTTTAAAATAAAGTTGATATGACTCCTTTCATTTATTTATTTTCTCCATTTGAAAACATTAGACCTTCTACATTTATTTTGCTTATTGTTAATATTAGTGTTGCTGCTGATGCTTTAAATAAAATGTTTGAAGATTAAATTTAACAAGAAAGACTGCTAATTTTCAACACTTTTTTTTTAAGATGACTGCAAAGGAGGAAAAACCAAAGTGAAGTATGGACTTACTTCACTCAGTCATTTATTTACTTTATAACAGTAAATAAATATCGGTTCTGCATATCGGTTATCGAGCACATAAACACGCAAATAATTGGTATCGGTTATAAAATATCAATATCGGTCGATCACTAGCTATAATGCGCAAGTAACTTTTACTGTACCTTTGAAACACTGCACCCCACCCCACCCAATGGACAGATTCTTGTTTTAATCATAAACCCACTTCATTACGTTCAGTTTCTCATAAAACAAAACTTTGTATCTTAATTTTACGTTTCCAGTAAATGCATCCTGATTTAAGGATGTTTAGATATCTGTACTGGAAAACATGCAGCGCACGCAACATTTAATGCTTGAATGACTTTCTGCTCCGAATCAAGTCTTTAATTTGTTGAAGGGAGAATTAAAGCTTCTGAAGAGCTACAGAAACCCTGCGCGTGTGACGTCATCGCGTTGCGTTCCGTTTAATGACGCACGGACGCAACGAGGCGTGACGCACGGCGCTTTATACTGTAAAAATAAGCGCATCAAACATCAGTTATTAGTGTTATTAATTCATCCCGAGGAGGCCTGGTGATAAACGATAAACTATATTACGAAGAAACATAATGATGAGCAGTTGAGCTGGTGAGTTCCGCTTTATGTAACGTTAGTTGATCGAGAGCGAGTGAGAATAACGAGATATTTAGCGCGGAATGCGATTGGGCGGGTTTTGTTGAGAAAACCTGGCAACCCTGGTGGCGTGTTTAGATTTATATTTAATCGGGATGAAGACAGATATTCGGTATTGTTTTATAGAATATCTACAGTGTGCGTGTATATAGCTGTCTCCTTATTAAATACACTTATCTGGAGGGGCGTGTTTTGAACACTTTATACTCACTCTGGAGGAAAGAGTCGGAGCTCGTCGATGGTTCCGATGAAGCCGAACAGGGTTCGCATCTGCTCCGCGGTGCTGCTCGGCGACACGTTCGTCACCTGGATCACATTAGTGCTGGACGTCATTGTGGCGAACGTCAATCGAAAGACATTTATATCCGTGCGGTAGAAGCGCGATTCTCGCTCGATTTCTCCTCAGCGAACCGAATCAAGCGTCTCCCTCGCGGCCTGCTGCGGTCTAATGGCGCGCGTGCTCACAAGAACATGGCGGCGCACGGGGGCCGATTTCAAAATACAAGTCCTCGTGACGCGTTCTAGACACGTACTGTTTCAGAGCACAAGCCTATGGAGGACGAAACCTGCAAAAACAATAAATAAATAAATGTGTGCATAAATACACGTATTCTTGTTTAAATACATATAGAAATAATTAAACATGTGATTAAAGTAGGCAAATAAATCAAATAAATTAGTGGGCAAATGGAAAATGTTTAAGGAAATGCTAAACTCATCCTATTTATTTTCCTTTGATCACTCATTTATTTCTGAATGTAGTTCCGCATTTATTTGTCCTCTGCTCAACATGCTAATGAGAGGGTGTTAATTATGCAAGAGTAGGCGGATCGTGTGTGACGCGCGTGAGCGTTTGCCTGCGCATGCGTATTAACTTCATCAGTCAAGGGGACTGATTATTATCTTACAATTTTTCATAAGGCTAGTTTTGTAGTTATAATCATGAGAGAGCTAAATCATAAAAGATTTGAAGTGGCCAATGTAAAATATTAATGCTTACATAGCTCTTAATTGCAATACTGAACCGTTATTTGCTTAATAAACAGTTTTGTCGCCTGTATCTGATAACTAATGGGGAAAAAACTGCCTGTCGCTCGATTAAACCACTTCATACCAGTTCTCAAGGATGTATATGAGCCTCTGTTTGTACAATAATAAATTGAGAATCAACTGAGATGTACCCTTGTGTATGTCACTAATTTGGTTCTCCCGCTGTAAAGAGAGAGAGATTGCTGCAGATCGACTTGGTTGTAGAAGATTGTTTACTGACCTTAAAAGTGATCTTACACGTACCTAAACAACGAGCAGGTAAAACCATCCTAATAAACACTAGCTGCCATCAAAAGAACGAGCCCTTATTCCACGGATAAAGTGAATAATCTCACGATGACCATGGGATACTGATATTACAGTTGTCTGTAGCTGGAGACTCAATCGGGTTACAAAAAATGACGTCAGGAAACACCTCTGACCATTTCTTTGGGTCGTGTGTAAAGTCACAGATACTGTACGGACAACACAGCTCAGTTTTTCTATGTATCTTGCTCTGTTAAACGGAAAAAGTGACTTTACTAGGCTATACTGGATTAACACCATGCATATTTATTTATTTATTGTTTTTGCAGGTTTCGTCCTCCATAGACATCGAGATGATTCATCTGTGCTGAAATATCATGAAAATAATATCAAATTACAAAAAAAAAAAATGTAATGGTTTTTATATTTAACATATATTTTTCTATTGATGATAATGTGTTTATGTGGGAAAACTACAATTATTCACATTTACTTATATTCATATTAATAACATATTTAGTTGTAAACTATTGTAAAATGATAATTTAACATGCCTGTTTCTTTATATGATTTTATCACCAGACAATTAATATAGAAATATTAGCGACAATGTGCAACAAAGCAACCTTTAGCATACTGTATATCAGTGTAATTTTGGTATCATTGAGATACTACTATAGTTTTGGTAATATATATATATATATATATATATGAGTGTTTTGTTGTTTTTATATCTTATTTTAATATAGTTTGCCATTTTAATTTTAGTTAAAGTTTTAGTAATTTTGTTGTGTTTTGTCATTTTGATATTTTTACAAATATTTTTATTATTTTTTATATATATATATATAGAGAGAGAGAGTATAGTTTTAGTCTGAATTATTTTAGAATATCAAGTTAAAATGAATTAAAATGACAAACATTGCCTTGGTCACTAGCTGAAATAAAATGAGTTAATTTTTATATTTTATTTTATTTCAGTTAACATGTATTCTAAGTTACAAACATGTTTTTAAAGGCTTTGGTTTTAGTTAACTATATTATTATTATGTTATATACGTTTACTTTATTTCAAGTAATGAAAATGTTTTACATTCTTATGGTTGTAGTTTTAGTAACTATAATAACTCTATGGAGCACCTGGAGCTACTTGCCATCAAGTAGAAGCCTAAATTAAAAATGTATACAAAAAGTTAATGTAACTGTTTTTGTGTGCAATTTATATTTTTACAGTGTAAATGTCTTAACAAAATAAACCAAAAATTAAATAGAATAAGTGTATTAAATGCATTACAAACTGGCACAAAAGACAGAAAAAATAATAGATTTAAAGCTTTTTTTGATCTCTTGGTTTGAAATACTAAAACGCAAACTAGCGCGTGTACATCCGGTGTGGCAGTGACGCGGGCGGAAGTCGTCGCTCCGTGTCAGCAGATAGGAAATGGAGAGTGAAGGGGCCTCATCGATAGATTAGCGGCGGTGAGAGTGATCGATTACTCTGTTGATGGTGGACCGATGCTGGTGAACGGAACCCATGGAGCCCCATGAGGAGAAACCCATCATCTACACGATGGAGAACAAACCCATAGTGACCTGTGAGTGAGTGTGAGTGAGTGAGTGAGTGAGTGAGTGAGTGAGTGAGTGAGTGAGTGAGTGAGTGAGTGAGTGAGTGAGTGAGTGAGTGAGTGAGTGAGTGAGTGAGTGAGTGAGTGAGTGAGTGAGTGAGTGAGTGAGTGAGTGAGTGAGTGAGTGAGTGAGTGAGTGAGTGAGTGAGTGAGTGAGTGAGTGAGTGAGTGAGTGAGTGAGTGAGTGAGTGAGTGAGTGAGTGAGTGAGTGAGTGAGTGAGTGAGTGAGTGAGTGAGTGAGTGAGTGAGTGAGTGAGTGAGTGAGTGAGTGAGTGAGTGAGTGAGTGAGTGAGTGAGTGAGTGAGTGAGTGAGTGAGTGAGTGAGTGAGTGAGTGAGTGAGTGAGTGAGTGAGTGAGTGAGTGAGTGAGTGAGTGAGTGAGTGAGTGAGTGAGTGAGTGAGTGAGTGAGTGAGTGAGTGAGTGAGTGAGTGAGTGAGTGAGTGAGTGAGTGAGTGAGTGAGTGAGTGAGTGAGTGAGTGAGTGAGTGAGTGAGTGAGTGAGTGAGTGAGTGAGTGAGTGAGTGAGTGAGTGAGTGAGTGAGTGAGTGAGTGAGTGAGTGAGTGAGTGAGTGAGTGAGTGAGTGAGTGAGTGAGTGAGTGAGTGAGTGAGTGAGTGAGTGAGTGAGTGAGTGAGTGAGTGAGTGAGTGAGTGAGTGAGTGAGTGAGTGAGTGAGTGAGTGAGTGAGTGAGTGAGTGAGTGAGTGAGTGAGTGAGTGAGTGAGTGAGTGAGTGAGTGAGTGAGTGAGTGAGTGAGTGAGTGAGTGAGTGAGTGAGTGAGTGAGTGAGTGAGTGAGTGAGTGAGTGAGTGAGTGAGTGAGTGAGTGAGTGAGTGAGTGAGTGAGTGAGTGAGTGAGTGAGTGAGTGAGTGAGTGAGTGAGTGAGTGAGTGAGTGAGTGAGTGAGTGAGTGAGTGAGTGAGTGAGTGAGTGAGTGAGTGAGTGAGTGAGTGAGTGAGTGAGTGAGTGAGTGAGTGAGTGAGTGAGTGAGTGAGTGAGTGAGTGAGTGAGTGAGTGAGTGAGTGAGTGAGTGAGTGAGTGAGTGAGTGAGTGAGTGAGTGAGTGAGTGAGTGAGTGAGTGAGTGAGTGAGTGAGTGAGTGAGTGAGTGAGTGAGTGAGTGAGTGAGTGAGTGAGTGAGTGAGTGAGTGAGTGAGTGAGTGAGTGAGTGAGTGAGTGAGTGAGTGAGTGAGTGAGTGAGTGAGTGAGTGAGTGAGTGAGTGAGTGAGTGAGTGAGTGAGTGAGTGAGTGAGTGAGTGAGTGAGTGAGTGAGTGAGTGAGTGAGTGAGTGAGTGAGTGAGTGAGTGAGTGAGTGAGTGAGTGAGTGAGTGAGTGAGTGAGTGAGTGAGTGAGTGAGTGAGTGAGTGAGTGAGTGAGTGAGTGAGTGAGTGAGTGAGTGAGTGAGTGAGTGAGTGAGTGAGTGAGTGAGTGAGTGAGTGAGTGAGTGAGTGAGTGAGTGAGTGAGTGAGTGAGTGAGTGAGTGAGTGAGTGAGTGAGTGAGTGAGTGAGTGAGTGAGTGAGTGAGTGAGTGAGTGAGTGAGTGAGTGAGTGAGTGAGTGAGTGAGTGAGTGAGTGAGTGAGTGAGTGAGTGAGTGAGTGAGTGAGTGAGTGAGTGAGTGAGTGAGTGAGTGAGTGAGTGAGTGAGTGAGTGAGTGAGTGAGTGAGTGAGTGAGTGAGTGAGTGAGTGAGTGAGTGAGTGAGTGAGTGAGTGAGTGAGTGAGTGAGTGAGTGAGTGAGTGAGTGAGTGAGTGAGTGAGTGAGTGAGTGAGTGAGTGAGTGTGTGTGTGTGTGTGTGTGTGTGTGTGTGTTCTGACATTAATGACATATATTCACACACACTCTCTGCATGTTCTTCCATCACTGATTCATTCTGGTCAGTCAGTGTTTTGCTGTGTTGTGAAGCTTCACACTGACATCTGATTCATGCTGCGAGATATTCTTCATGTCATCATGGAAATCATGAAATATCTGGGGATTTAACAGTGTAATCTGTATTTTGCAGGTTTGCTTTTAGCTGGATATCGCTTGTGTATAGTCAAACCCTGAACGAATCGTTCTTTTGAATCGGTTCTCTTCCATGAATCGGTTCGAATAATTGATAGAATAGTTCTTGAATAATTCTCGGAAATGTCAGAGAATTTTCAAATCATAGTGAGTCTGTATTTTTCTGATTCTCTCTTAGTGTAGAGTCAAATCCAGAACGAATCGTTCTTTTGAATCGGTTCACTTCCATGAATCGGTTCGAATAATTCAAGGAATAATTCATACATAATTCCTGGAAATATCAGATCATTTTAAAATGATATTGAGTCTATAATTTGCAGCTTTGCTCTTAGCGGCATATTTCTTATGTAGACTTAAACCCTCAAACCGAATGAATAATTCTTTTGAATCGTTTTTAATCCATGACCCGATTTGAATAATTCATGTAATTATTAAGGAAAAAAATCCCGTAAACATAGACTTACTATCATTTTAAAATTCTTTGATAATTTGCAGGATGTTACTCGTGTAGCGTAAAACCCCAAACGAATCATTCTTTTGAATCAGTTCATATCTGTTAATTCCCGAATCAGTCTGAATCATTTTGAAAGTGTAATCACAGATGAATTCATCAGTCATCAGATTTACTGTAGTGAATTATGTGCTGTATGAATACAGTAGTATATCCGTGTACCTAATGCTATTAAATACAATCACTGTACCGCAGTACTTTGCTATTTCATTTGTTAGTTTCTTTAAATAACTCAAACTGAGTGAGTTGTAGAGAGTTTTAGAAAGACTTTCATCATGCATATCAGTGTGAGCTGCTGCTGTGTGTGAACTGAGCACTGTGTGTGTGTGTGTGTGTGTGTGTGTGTGTGTGTGTGGTGAGGGGGTGCGGTACATAATTCCTGGAAATATCAGATCATTTTAAAATGATATTGAGTCTATAATTTGCAGCTTTGCTCTTAGCGGCATATTTCTTATGTAGACTTAAACCCTCAAACCGAATGAATAATTCTTTTGAATCGTTTTTAATCCATGACCCGATTTGAATAATTCATGTAATTATTAAGGAAAAAAATCCCGTAAACATAGACTTACTATCATTTTAAAATTCTTTGATAATTTGCAGGATGTTACTCGTGTAGCGTAAAACCCCAAACGAATCATTCTTTTGAATCAGTTCATATCTGTTAATTCCCGAATCAGTCTGAATCATTTTGAAAGTGTAATCACAGATGAATTCATCAGTCATCAGATTTACTGTAGTGAATTATGTGCTGTATGAATACAGTAGTATATCCGTGTACCTAATGCTATTAAATACAATCACTGTACCGCAGTACTTTGCTATTTCATTTGTTAGTTTCTTTAAATAACTCAAACTGAGTGAGTTGTAGAGAGTTTTAGAAAGACTTTCATCATGCATATCAGTGTGAGCTGCTGCTGTGTGTGAACTGAGCACTGTGTGTGTGTGTGTGTGTGTGTGTGTGTGTGTGTGTGTGTTGAGCAGGTGCGGGCGATCAGAACCTGCTCACAGCTCTGTACGGATCACTGACCCAGCAGCTGCCCAGAGAGCCCATGGAGTGGAGGAGGTGAGCGCTTCTATTGTGTGTTATAGAGTAAAGTCACTGAAACAGAAGCAGCGTCAGAGCTTTGCGGGTTATCAGGAGGAACGCATGTAGGGCGGGGCCTGGCTCTGTGCATCAGCTGTTGATTGGATGTTGAGATGTGGGCGTGGCTCAAGTGTTTGCAGATGAGGGGCGGAGTTTAAGAGCCCTTACAAACTCAAAACATTATAAAAGTGATGCTTAAGCACAGATGAATCATTCACGATAAGATCTATAACATGCTTTTAGAAAACAGATAGGGTTAATTTAATTTCATGCCACCGTTAGTATATATTATTATTCTCTAATGTAGCCAGAATTTTAGGATAATAGGGCTGCATGATTAATCAGAATAACCGAAATGGCTTAGTGCGATTATATATATTAATAAATATATGCACTGCATGTTTCAAAGTGAAGCGCTCATTTACACACTTTCAGGCTCCCTGCAGTTTTCTGTCAGAACTAGGGTTGCAAAAAGGTGGAAAATTTCCAGTAAATTTTGGAATTTTTCCAGGATTTTTTGGAGTATTCCAGGGATTTTTTGGAAAGCTTGCGGAAACTTACCGGAAATTTTCCACCCCTTTGCAACCTTAGTCAGAACTTTTGAAAATAAAGAAATTAATACAGCCATAAATATTATATTGTAACTTTTGGTTATAATGTTTTTTCTTAAATATTCATACTTATTTTACAGTAAAAAATACATCATATTTCTTATTTTGATTTTAGTAATTGTAGTTTTTATTACTATGTAGCCATATTGATATAATCAAGAGAGTTCGTGCATGTTTTGCAGCCCTGGTCCAATAGTAATATTTCTTATTTTGATTTTATTTAATCATTTTTATATTTTTATTTAGTTTTAGTAGTTATTATTATTATTATAATAAAGTGACTACTAATAGTAATTTTAGTATTTCTAATAATAACGATTATTGTTATCATTATCATTTTATAGCCATATTGATATAATCACATAATTTTGGCCAAATTGTGCAGCCCTACAAACAAGAGTTTTTTTCTTTTTTAACCCCAGTGCGTCAATTAAAAACAGTTACACACAGGTCCATAGTGGACAAAAATGTCCATGTCAAAACACTGTTGCTTGGGAGCACATAGTGTGTGTGTGTGTGTGTCTGTGTGTGTGTGTGTGTCTCTCTGTGTGTGTGTCTGTGTGTGTATGTGTGTGTGTGTGTGTGTGTGTCTCTCTGTGTGTGTGTCTGTGTGTGTATGTGTGTGTGTGTGTGTGTGTGTCTCTCTGTGTGTGTGTCTGTGTGTGTATGTGTGTGTGTGTGTGTGTGTGTCTCTCTGTGTGTGTGTCTGTGTGTGTATGTGTGTGTGTGTGTGTGTGTGTCTCTCTGTGTGTGTGTCTGTGTGTGTATGTGTGTGTGTGTGTGTGTGTGTCTCTCTGTGTGTGTGTCTGTGTGTGTATGTGTGTGTGTGTGTGTGTGTGTCTCTCTGTGTGTGTGTCTGTGTGTGTATGTGTGTGTGTGTGTGTGTGTGTCTCTCTGTGTGTGTGTCTGTGTGTGTATGTGTGTGTGTGTGTGTGTGTGTCTCTCTGTGTGTGTGTCTGTGTGTGTATGTGTGTGTGTGTGTGTGTGTGTCTCTCTGTGTGTGTGTCTGTGTGTGTATGTGTGTGTGTGTGTGTGTGTGTCTCTCTGTGTGTGTGTCTGTGTGTGTATGTGTGTGTGTGTGTGTGTGTGTCTCTCTGTGTGTGTGTCTGTGTGTGTATGTGTGTGTGTGTGTGTGTGTGTCTCTCTGTGTGTGTGTCTGTGTGTGTATGTGTGTGTGTGTGTGTGTGTGTCTCTCTGTGTGTGTGTCTGTGTGTGTATGTGTGTGTGTGTGTGTGTGTGTCTCTCTGTGTGTGTGTCTGTGTGTGTATGTGTGTGTGTGTGTGTGTGTGTCTCTCTGTGTGTGTGTCTGTGTGTGTATGTGTGTGTGTGTGTGTGTGTGTCTGTCTGTGTGTCTGTGTGTCTGTCTGTGTGTGTGTCTGTGTGTCTCTGTGTGTCTCTGTGTGTGTGAGTGAGTCTGTGTGTGTGTCTGTGTGTCTGTGTCTGTGTGTGTGTGTGTG